CGGCCCGAGGCGGCCAAAGGGGGCAGCTGCGGCTTATTAATTAATTAACTAATTTAATTAATTAATTAATTAATTATTCTGAGGAATTGGCACGGGCCCAGGTTGCCCAGAGAAAGCTGTGGCTGTCCGAGCCGCGGGCTGGAGTGAGGGGCGTCGCGGCCCTTCGCGGCCCCTCCTCCGGCTCGGGCCGGGCGGGAGGCGGGGGCCGTGGCTGCCCCATCCCTGGAGGGGTTCAAGGCCAGGTTGGAGGGGGCTTGGAGCAACCTGTTGTGGTGGGAGGTATGCCTGCCCCTGGCTGGAAGGAACCTTAAAATGTCCCTTCCCAGCTCCTAAGCGTTCTGTGATGCTATGGTTCTTCAGTTCTCCTCTCCAGTGGCACCGGTATGGCATGAAGCTGGTTGAGAAACGACATCTCAGGGGCTTGATATATCTGCCAGCTCTTTTACTTCAACCAAAACTTCACAGGAGACCCTGCTGAGCTCCCAGTTTCTACAGACTTGGCAGAAGCATAATTTAGTAGTTAATTCTGATCTTACTAGAAGACCTCGGCAGAGGAAATCCTTCATAGAAGGCCTAGACAGAGGAAGTCCTTCATAGAAGACCTTGGCAGAGGAAATCCTTCATAGAAGGCAGAGGAAATCCTAGACCAGAAAAATGCTAAATCGCTGAGCATCCACCTATGAGAACAAATACGCAGTACATAACAGATGTATAGAAATGCACATCATCTCTCTTTCAGTTGTCCTCTCCAGTATGGCATTGAAGCTGGATGTGAAGCGACATCTCAGGGGCTTGATACATCTGCCAACTTTCTTCAACTGAAACTTCTCAGGAGACCCTGCTGAGCTCCCAGTTTCTACCAGACTTGGCAGAAGCACAATTTAGCAGTTTTTCCAGGTCTTCCTAGAAGCCAGGCTGACCGCTACCCCTCAGGGGCACAGCTAATGGAGCCCACCATGGTGTGACACTCGCACTGTCACAGAGAGGACACTTGCAGCGCAAGTGCTGGGACAGGGTGACTCTCAGGTTAGTTTTGCAGCGCGGGGTGTGGGGGCTTGTTTTCCTCTCTTGAGGGCTTCCTCAATTGAAAGGTTTCCAGTTCTTCACCTCTCCAGATTTCCAATCTTGAACTTCCCTGGGCACTTGCTGTGTAAGGTTTGTATGTGAGGTGCTGGCTGGGTGACACCGGGAGACATTTGGTGTTTCCTCATTCTCCTGCTGCTTTCTGTTCTGCGATACCAAGCGACAAGTCTTGGTAGAGCAGCTCCTATGAATTATGGTCTCATGGTCCTCTTTGTTTCTCATCCCATTTCTCACGCTCCTGGGGACACAGCTGACAAACATAGCTGCGTTTTTTTTTGGGGGGGGGAGAATCATCTGGAGGTTCCTGCTGTTGCTTCTTCTGCAGTGAGAAAGCCAGACACGCATTAGTAATAAGCCAGGATCCTCCTCCCCCTCCAAAACTCATCACTGAACTTTTGGCTGCACTTTTCCCTGCAATTTTATATTTTTTGTGTGCTGAGGGTTGTGGTTCCCTGAGTGTTTGGGATCTCCTTTTTCATACTGGAGCAAAACACAAGCTGATCCTGTGACTCTTTGTCCCCGTAAGCCCACCACGAGTCTGTCTTTACCCACCCATTGCCTCTGTCAGTGGCCTGATGCAGTTGGTGCCCCACACGAAGGACCCCTGCACACCCTGAGCTCTGGGGACCCGTCCCTGGTTCCCTGCTTTCCAGGCATGGAAGGATCAGCTGTGCCTGACCGTGCTTCTTGGCTGTCTCCCAGAAACCACTTTTATTGCTGTTCTTCCGTGCCGGCTGCTTAGTCAACACGCTTCACAGGCGGCAGGAGACGTGTTTTCTGTTGGGCACCGAAAAACAACCTGCTGCTGCCATGAGGGATGGGGCACGTCTCCCTCCCATAGCGCCCTTCAGGCACGCTCCTGTCCCCCCTCAGCCAGCTAAATGTCACCAGCAGGGCCCATCCGAGGGGGTTGTAGGAACCTAATCCCTCCCTCTGGGGTCAGATATAACCAGATGAGCTAAATTGGAAGCTGCAATGATAACGTGCGGCTATCAGCTCCCAAGGTGGCATTTAAAGTTGGTAAACAACTCCGAGGGTTGGATTTCACAAGTTTTGCAAAGTAAGTGATACTTCGAGCCACTGATGCTGGGGGCAGCAGACACGTTAGGAGCCACGGTAGTGCTCTTAAAAGGAAATAAGGTCTCAAGTGGAATCAGTACACTCCATAGATATTCAGGTTTAGAATCCACGGGAATACCTCAGCTGAACAGAAATGATGGAAAATCAAAGAAACCCCTCTGAAGTGGATTCATTGGGGGTTTTTTGGGTATGTTTTTGGGGTGGGTTTTTTGAGACAGAGTGTGAGAAAGGAGGAGGAACAATTGAACTGGGGAAAAAAAAGGGGTTTAAATGTGTTCACGGTGAATAATCACAGCCTGATTCAACACACATGGGTTTTAGGAGTGAATACCTGCCCCATCGATGTGTACTTAGATGGCACTAAATGTCGTTTCTTCTGTCTCTAACAAATATTCAAAACGCCATCATAAATTTTTGAGAACTGGGAAAATATCCTGCCTTCCCACCCCTCGAGGCTGGTGTCTGCCCCGGCCTGGCTGTGTTGTCAGCGTCAGTTTGTGGTAATTTTTGATGGATTCACACCTTTGGATGAGGAGCGTTAGATGTGTCTGCACTCGGCATCCAGGGGAAGGTATTCCACACCCCAGCACTTCTGTGGCTGATGGACTCTTCAGACCAGCAAAGTCTTAAAGGGAGAAGGAAAAAAAAAAAAAAAACCCCTGTACTGCTCTTCTCAGAAAAGGAAAATCCACGAATGACTGAAAACTTTTATTAGGATCACATTTACTGAGTGAGCTCCCTTTGCAGGAGAGGTTCTCCACACAGCCATGGTGCTGCTACCTGCTAATGAGGGAAACCTTGGTTCAGCTTCTCTCCGACTACAGCTGTCTTCTCTTCGTTATTTTCCACTTCTGGTTTTATCTTGGTGCCTGGCTGGTGAAGACTGGCCTTCACAACTTTGAATAGTTGAAAGTTTTTTTATGAGGTTAAGCAAAAAAAAAAAAAAAAAGATATGCCTTGAGGTATCGCAAACCCCATCCCTCTTGAGCCTGTTTTTTATTTAATGCCTGGATGAAAATATTACCTCCTTAGAACCCACGTGTGTGGCTCGGTCCCTGGGCCACCTGCCAAGAGAAGAATTTTAGATGCCCGAATCATGCGCTCAGCAGGTGTAAATTGTGTTCGGGGAGAGTTCACCTTTTGTCCTTAACCCCAGAGGCAGTTTCTCTTCATTAGCTGGGAGAAGATGGAGAAAAGAGATTATCATCGCTTCCTGACTGCGTGCCAAAGGTATGGATCATACCAGGAAAATCTGTTCCTACATTCACAAACATGTTTTCTCCTAATCTGTCTTCAGGAAAACGTCTTTGGGAGGAGCACGGCGTAATAATAATAATCGTGGAAGAGTGGAAATGAAGAGACAGAAGCCAAATTTCTCTACTGAGATTTTTTTTTTCAAGCGGGATCTGGGGCTGGTTGGATCCCTCGGCTCCCGTTGGAAAAGAGAAGCCCTTAGTCATGGCTATGATTAAACATTTAGAAGTGTTCCCATCTCTGGCGGCTGCTATCGGGTATCATTCAGAAATGTGACTGTGTTGCTTCATGTCAGAGACTCAGTTTACCAGCGGAACTGGGCGGTATCGCTGGTGTTTAAACATTTTCCCCCCCCTTAAACTGTGACAGATACAAACATCCACTGCGTTCCTGCCTGTGTCTGCCAGGAGAAAAGCTTTTCTGTTGAGACTGAAGTCGTGTGTTATCATCGCAACTGTGTGTTGCTGTTTGCTGTGCGGTGCAGAGAGCACACCGGGGCTGAGTCACAGAAACAAACGCAAAAATTGCCGTTTAAAAGAATAAGGTCACGGGTCGGGTTATTTGTTGGGGAACAAACAGGGTAATTAAGGGGCCGCTCCCTGCAGTGGCAGCACGGGCAGCGCGGCGCCGGGGGAGCCGGGCGATGGGCAGAAACCAGGTGGAATAGCCGTATGTTTCCGGGGCAAACAGCTGGGCTGGGTCTGACAGAGAGCCTGGGTGCCATCGGTAGAGAAGGGGGAAAGAACGACAGTATCTTTCAGAAACCAAGTCTGCTCGGACTAGCCAAGAGTATTTACTTGCTGGTGTTTAAAAATCGTCGTTGTGGCAGGAAATATGAAAAATCTTTCTAATATTTCCTCTTTAGGTGTGCCAGAGAGAGATTGTATTCTGAAAATGAAGTGGAAAAGGCTCGTTGGAATTTGTGCTGTATTATTTTTTTCTCTCAGACAATGGCAGACCAAAATCAGCCCCAGTGAATATACACATCTGCTTTTCATCCAGGTATTTTCTCCATGCAATTGATGAGGGAAAAATCTTAGAAAACCTGTTCAAAGGCATATATAACCACTGGGAAAGCCTGATATTCCAGTACATAATGAAGAAATGATGATCTCTGAGGTCCCTTCCAACCACCACAAATACAGGATCTGTGTCTTGTTCTCTCCCAGCGTCCATTTCCATTGCCTGCTTTCGCTTGGCACCCTTTGAATAGTGTCTGGAATGAATATTTTTGGGGTGTCCAAAGGTTTAGAAGGAACTTCTGTGGATCCCTGCAGCATCGGCAATAGCTGGGTTGGGAAGAATTATTTTAATAACCACTTATGTCATTGTTCATTTGGGTTTGGTGGCCTTTTGCCAGCCAGAAATGTTCCGATGAAAACAGAGGGATGCAGGAAAATCTGCGAGTTTCCTCTTCGCCGATACGGGAAGCAAAGGGCCGTTCCTGGATGTAGCCAGCTCCTCCCGGGGTGGGAAGCTCCTGGATGGGATGCTGTGCCTCAGCTTCCTCCCACCCCTGCTTTTTCACCATCCAGCCATCCTGCAGCTTCCCTGGGATTTAAGACTGTACCTTTTCATCTACAGAAATATTTTTCCCCTGCAGATTTAAATAATTAATTGGGACGTGCCTGGTGGGTCTGGAGATAAACTTAAAGGAGGCAGCAGATACGTGTGACCAAGTGACCTTTTGCTGTCCTGCTGGTCCCTGCGTGCTCGCTGTGCTCAAAGGGACGCTGTCAAAATTGCTAGCCCTTAAAACTTTAACCCGCACTGACAAGTTGTTCTACATTATAAATCCTACCTAAAAGATTACCACGATTGTTTTGTTTGTTCTGTTCCAACAGTCTTTTGCTGAAGGCTCTGCAGTACGTCTCCCTGTGTCCTTTTGGGCAGGTGGATATTTTTAAATGCCCGGCTTTATTCCGTGACCTGTTAAAATCCAGTGGATGTGCGTGTAACTCTGCTTGGCGCACAACTCGCCGGGGAGGGGACAGGTTTTCTGCACTACAGGAGCAGGCTTTGGAAGCCTTTACTTTCCAGAGATGTTCTGGAAGGCCTGCAGTTATCCTTCAGAATTTTGGGGGCCAGTAAGATGTCTTGACCGGACCCCCCGGTGATATTCAGTGTTGGTTAAACACGAGAAGTCTTAGGAAGAAGTGTGGGATATTTCGGGTGGGTCCGAATCACTCTGTGGGCATTATTTCTGACAGGATCTCTCCATTTAACACAGCTCCACGGGAAGAGGTGAATCCCAGCAGATGGAAGAAGTACATTTCGAGCATCACACCTTCTCTTCTTTCTGTACCAGTGGAGAGGTTGATGCAAACACCGGTTCCAAAGCTGCACAGCCGCAAGCGCAGCGCCTGACACGGGGACACGTGTCCATCCCGGCCAGGGAGGAGGAGGGAAGGAATGGTACCCCACCCCAGGTAATCCCCACCTCCAGCCACAAGCTTGATTTGAGCTCTTTTACCTGTCTGTTATCCCAACCTTGTTCCCATTGCAGCTACGCTGGCTCCATCGGGATGTTTGGGGCTGCGTCTCCTCGGCTGCCAGGAAGGGTTTTTAACTGAACCCAAGGGGATGCTGTCCCGGGTCCCTGAGGAGATAATCCCTCTCAGCCAGTCATCGGGTACTAGGGAGAAACACACAAAAGTAGATTTAAAGCCATCTCACTAAAAGTAGTTCCCTACATGCTGTAACCTTGTTATATGAAGTTGGATTCTTGAAGCCACTCGGGCCATCTACCCAACTTCTAAAATTAGGTATGTTTTATGGATGACGGCTAGAGACACATTTGTTTTTATGAAGTGTTAGAGCTTAAATTTTGTGTAGGACAGTAATTTGACGGACTGTCCCCGTCCTGTTGCGCTAGCCCTGCACAGACTCTTCCCTTCTGCACCCAGGTTTGGCAGGGAGACTTCTCCCAGCCCTTGGGATGATTAGGGCGATGAACTCCTCCAGGACTTCTCGTCTCACTGGAGAAGGATGAACCAATCCTTTGAAAGTTTCCCCAGTTCTGAGACCTTGTACCACTGTTTCCTGACATTACAGGGCCCGAGTCTCTCCTTCATTCAGCGCTCTGCCACACACAGTCATTTTTAAAGAGCAGCCAGGTACGAGCCTGTCTCATGCAGCCTGGAAAAGGGTTTCTGGAGCACGTTCTAGAGCAGCACTGGGGCTCCAGCAAGCAATGTGAACTGCCAAACCCCTCCTGATGTGCAGAGTTCCCCGTCCTTTGTCAGCCAGCACCCACAGATGTTCTGAGCAGACGCAGAACGTGCTCTAACAGCCATGGGAAACAGCCCTGAATTAGTAACTGCGGGTGCAAGAAGAGGTTTCGGTTCTGCTCTGGGGACCAGACGGGCTCGCTGATAGTGCAGTTTGTTCCTGTAGCCATCCCTGGTAAAATTAATTCCCTAAGGAGCAGGAGAAAGGCAGCCTGTTGTGTTAATCCCCCCGACCTGCCCAGTAAAACCAGCTTCTCCCTCCAGGAATTCTGAGTCCCCTGGCTGTGCTCAGGCACTGCCAGAGCGTCCCTGCCTCCTGACGTGATGGGGAGAGAATGAAAATAGAGGGGGGGAAACTAATTAGTCAACTAGAGCTATCTACCTCGGCGTGCCTCACTCTCAGATCTAGTAAAATAATGAATTAGAATCTTCTCAGTATGACTGGTTTTTGCCTGACTGCTTTGGGATTTCTGCTCTGGGCTTCACCTGGGAAAGCAGCGTTTCAAGGCAGACTGATGCAATTGTAAGAACGAGTTAAATATAATTTAATTAATAACTCTAAATAGCCGTTATTACGTGAAGTCTTCGCTGTGCTAGTTTCTGCCGGTGGGAATGAAGGGATTGGAGTGAAGTTGAGGGGAGAGGAGCTGCCCTGGCACTGTTCCTGCCCTGGCACTGTTCCTGCCCTGCGGCGTTCCTCCGGGCCGGGGGGAGTGGGAAACGCTGTCTCCTGGTGTGGACTGACCTTAGCTTGCTTTCCAGATTCACTGCAGACACGAGTTTTGCTCAGCCTCTACCTTAGGCTGGTAAGAGAAATCCTCCCTCCGGATGGACCCACTGTGCAACTGGGAGCAGCTGCAGGGCTGGGCAGCAGAGGACTCTCCATGGGGAAGTTTACATTTCCACCTTAACGTATATCCAGGCAGGAGATCGGGACATTTCCTGCAGTGTCAAATTGCTGTTCGCTGAGGAAGGAAACCCTTTGTGAGAGTTGCTGGCGGTAGGTGCTCCTCTGAAGCACAGCTGTTCTCATCTGCCCACCTTGGTGCTCTCCTGATGCCAGCACCTGATGCTGCTTCTCCTTGACCTCTCTGGCTCGGGGTGACCGTCCCTGGGAGCGTGTCCCAGACAAAGGAGATGTCAGGAGGGTGTGTAATTTGTGTTGGAACAGGGGGTGGTTACATCACGGTGCAGGCAGTGGGGTCCTGTTGGTATCACATCACCACACAACGGCACATGGGGCTGAGGTGTCAGGATCTGCAGCTCCACAGCAACCCATGAGAGAGACACATAACTTCAGACATTGTACCCCAGTCAGCCCTCTGTTGCTCGATCCTGTGAGCCTCTGAGCCCTTCACTGCTGGCTGCCTCTGCCAAAGTCCTCCCGGTGTGGAAAAGGATCAAAAATACAGCTTTTGCGACTTCTGAAAGCTTTTAAATGTAAAGGGTGGTGGGTACATGATACAATTTTCTAATTTTTTTTTATCCTTCAGAGGGAAAAATGCACACAGAGACTGCTAACTTCCTAAAAACCTTTTGTTTTTTCTTTTCCGTGGACATAACGGCTCAAAAGCAGCGAGTACCAACAGAAAGCTGGGAAAACAGACAAAACCCCAAAATTGAGGGCGAGGTATTGGAGGCGGGAGCCGCAAAAGACTCAATCAGAGCGTGCATTGGTGGTTCAGTGGTAGAATTCTCGCCTGCCACGCGGGAGGCCCGGGTTCGATTCCCGGCCAATGCAGGTCACTTTTTTTTCCCCTCGGTTTTCTTAAACCTCCGCCTTTTAATCCCGCAGCGCTTCCTGCGCCCTGTGCTTTTCCCCGCGGGGCTCCGGAGCGGGAAGAAGCGGTGCCGCAGCGCTGGGGGGAAAGACACGTCGTGCCGGGGGCGGCCCCGCGGAGCAACGGGAGGGAGGGGAAAAAAATTTTGGAAAAAAAAAACACAGGAGAAAATAATACCGGAAACGCTAAAAAGAGCCGGTTGGAGATGCCGGGGATTGAACCCGGGACCTCACACATGCGAAGCGCGCGCTCTACCACTGAGCTACATCCCCGGCTGGCAACCGTTTCCACCCGGCGGTATCAGAGGGTGGGACGGGCCCCGCCGCCCCTCACCGCTGTCTCTGGGCACCGGGGCGGCGAGGGGACGACACCGGCACCGGCCCCGTGTGCGGTGGAGGGTGGGGGACCCCCAAGAAGAAGCCCCCCCGCCCCGCCCCTCCGAGGCCGCTGCTTGGTGCCCCCCTTCTCCCATGAGCCACCAATGGGCTCTGGTGGCCAAGGAGGCCGAAGGGGGCATCAAGAAGAGCGTGGCCAGCAGGTCCTGGGGGGTCATCCTCCCCCTTTGCTCTGACTTGGGGGGGCTGCAGCTGCAGTAGTGGGACCAGTGCTGGGCCCCCCAGTTTCACAAAGGACGGGGAACTGTTGGAGAGAGTCCCTCAGAGGCTGTGGAGATGCTGAGGGACTGGAGCATCTCTGTGCTGGGGAAAGGCTGAGGGACCTGGGGCTGTTCAGCTGGAGAAGAGCAGACTGCGAGGGCATCTCATCGATGCTGAGCAAGAGATAAGGGTGGGGGGCAAGAGGATGGGGCCAGACTCTTCTCAGTGGTGCCTGGGGACAGGACAAGGGGCAATGGGGACAAACTTGAATATAAGAAGTTCCATCTCTACGCGAGGAAGGACTTCTAGACTTTGAGGGTGGCAGAGCCCTGGAAGAGGCTGCCCAGGGAGGTTCTGTGTTTTTCATCGATTCTCATGAGGCACACGCTTGAACTCACTCTGGATTTTCCACAGCATTTTTCCTCTGAGCTGCAGGAGCCCGTGGCAGTGGCATCGGCCGCTCATAAATAAATAGCTAAAGTGATTTTTCTGCTGCCGTAGGATCATACCCTGCGTTTCTTTGCAGGTATCCAAATGAGGCAGTTGAGAATGTTCATGGTTCTGTTATATTATTTATGCTTTACTTAGCATTCCTGTCCTTCCAAAAATGTTCCTGCCACACAGATCAGGAAAAAACGTTAAAGTGACAAATTTCAGGAGTTATGGACAACACACTTACTAATGCCACTTAACAAACCATTTGAAAAGATAAGTATATTGTTGAAAAGTGGAATAACTGAAAAAATTGCTGATGTTATTTACCAAAGAGTTTTTATCATCTGCTGCTGCTACTCGGGGAAGACAGCGCTCAGAATAACCTTCAGGAAGTTCTGTGTGTATTCTAGACTGAGCCTGGGTGACGCTACAGTCGTAGGTCCTCCAACTAAAAATGGCTTTTCCTCCTATGTTTTTACATCTTTCATTTTTATTGAATTAACTCCCTGGTTTGCTGCAGGGAAATGGAGGAATAAAGCAAGGAAGTCCTTCCGTAGCTCCCAGTCTGCCAAGTCTGGGTGGGTTTGGTTGGTGTTTGTTGTCCCCAGCGAGAACATTGTAAGAACATCCCAAAAATCCAGGTTATGCATCAGCCCATAGTAAAGAATTACCAAAGTTGGAATTAAAAAAGGAGATAAAAAGGCAGAAAACAGGATTAAAGTAGTGAACTGGGAGATTCATTAGGGTTGCAGGCGGATAAGTAAAATATAGCCCTGCAGAAATTATTTGACTGGCAAATTAATTACACAATATTCCAATGGTTTTCTCAGCCCTCAGGAAGCAGGTAGGAGTCTGCAGGACTTCATAAAAGAGCCTCCACTGGTCTTTAGCCTAATCAGAGATGAAAATTAACATCTCAGGATTTGAGGCAAATAGGAGGGTTTTTGGTAAAGCTCAGAAAGCCAGAGTCTAGCACAATTATACAGGTTTACACAGTTTAAAGTGTGCAGACAGTGGGATGCTCCTGCTTTCCTTACAGGCCTTTAATTTACAGACCCACGGGGGATGTGAAGGCAAAGCTGATTTGGACACCAAGAGTCTCATTAGGGCAGATGGTGCCACGGGACACTTCGTATTTGTTGAGAGGATGCCTGATTAAAATACTCTGCAAAATGTTTTACCCAACCCTGAAAATGTACACTATTATTATTATCATTATTATTATTTCCTAAAGTGTCAACTTATTCTCTGAACCCTCTTGCCTGTTTGCTGTTCTCTCTCTGTCCCCAGCACACACAAACATAACAGTTTATGTTTTCCCAGTTTGCTTGCTGAGTGTTGTTATTTTCACGGGGGAGATATTACGAGCTCTGTCTCAGAGCACACGTTATTTGCTGTTCCTGGAAAAGCTTTGGAAAAACCTACATCCCGATTGAAACACATCCCCTTCCAGTGAGAAGGACCACACCACACGCTCATTAGCCCGGTATGAACCCCAGAATCATTACAGGTATTAAGTGAGATCTTCTCTGATTGCCTGGAATCACACCAGAAGAATGCTCAGCTCCTACTCACTGTCTTAAATCAACCATAACTTGGACTTCAAATGCCCACCTGGCCTTGCAGCTTCCTTCCCGTGCTCCCTTTCCTCCAGGGGAACCCCTTGCTCCCTGTTTTTTGTGCTCTTCAGGTGATATCTAGAACCCAAAACATAAGTGGAATTTTTTCTCAGACAAGAGGAAGACGGCAATCTTTTGGCAACAAGCAATTCTGAGCCCTTACAGGATGAGGTGTGTCAGCCTTTAAACTCATGATGAGTGGTCAAGTGGCCACCGTTTGCCTTCCAACCAAAGCTGTAGCCACACGTGGATCCATCTGGCACAGAGGGAAGTTGGGGGCAGAGAGGGGTGGCCCATGACACCCCCTCTTCCACCTCTGTTTTCATTGTTTTACCAAAACAGCCTGCATTTATGTTTATTTTTGGGAACCAGGGTGCCTTTTGCCTCCTCTGCAAACCAGGGCCCTGAGTGCTCCCCGCTCAGAAATAACGAATATTCTCATGTAAAACCATCTTTTCCTGCTTTCCTGACCCACATGGGAAAATGGGACTTCTTCACCCAGGCTCATGGGGAAAGAAAAACCAAAGTGAGGGCTACTGCTAATAGCTCTTCCAAAAAAAAAATACAGTTGGATTTAAATTTTGTCACTTTTGAGCTGATAGGAAACTGGAAGCTTTACATTTTCTCTCATTGCAGTAATAGTATAATTACTGAGTTATAAGGCAGCCAAATTACAGCAAATGCACCTAAAAATAACTGTGTAACGGCATCATCCGCCAAAGAACAACAAGAGTTTGTTATTAATAAAAAACCGAAGCAGAGTGAAAGTCCCGGTGGCAGCAGACGTTGGGAACACGAGTTTCTGAGGAGCCCTGGGGACAGGAGCTCATCGCCGTTACCCGAGTGAAGCAATTCCTGTGGGGGATCTTCTCCAGGAGTCCCACGTTCCTCTCCAGGACAAACCAGTGTGTGTCATGGAAACTCCTTCCCTGGGCTCTGAACTTTCATGGTGCTGAGGCTGAGAAAGAAGAGATTACTCAGAAAGTAGCAACAAAA